CTAAAGTCTATTTATTTTATTTATCCGTTTGAGATTGGAATTGAATATTCTGAATAAAAATGCAAAGGACATTAGCTCCAGTGTATATACTTAGTCTGGCCATAAATACTGTTACAATTAAAAATAAACAAAATATTACATTTGAATTTGGAATCTGTCATTTTTATATGATTGCTCATTGAGTTTTCTCATTTTGGCGCCAATACATTGTACAATATTTTGCGATATTAAAATGGAGTGGGGTGATAAAGAGAACTGAATCGCTGTGATTGCATTACACAAAGTAGGTATGGAGCCAAATGCAATTTTTAAAACTCTCCATACGTTTGGTATTAGTAAAATGTTTGTGTACCGGGCTATTAATAGATGCAATGAGACCTCCTCTGTTTGTGACAGAAAAAGATCTGATCGTCCACGTAGTGTTCGTACGAAAAAGGTGGTGGTCAAAGAAGTAAGGGAAAGAATTCGAAAGCAAAATATTTTATCTCGGGAGATGAAGATAGCACCTAGATCCATGTCGCGTATTTTAAAAGATTGCTTAGGACTTGCAGCCTATAAGAGACGTACTGGTCATTTCTTAACTGATAATTTAAAAGAAAATAGGGTGGTAAAATCGAAATAGCTACCGAAGCGGTACGCAAAGGGAGGTCATAGAAAAATATTGTTTACGGATGAATTTTTTTACAATCGAGCAACATTTTAACAAAAAAAATGACCGTATTTATGCTCAAAGCTCTAAGGAAGCTTCCCGATTAGTCGACAGAGTGCTACGTCGGCACTATCCGACTTCAGTGATGGTTTGGTGGAGTATTAGCTATGAAGGAGTGACTGAGCCATACTTTTGTGAAAAAGGTATCAAAACATCGGCACAAGTGTATCAAGATACTATTCTTGAGAAGGTAGTGAAGCCCCTTAACAACACCATGTTCAATAATTAAGAATGGTCTTTCCAGCAAGACTCGGCGCCAGGTCATAAAGCTCTGTCTACGCAGTCTTGGTTGGAAACGAACGTTTCGGACTTCATCAGAGCTGAAGACTGGCCGTCGTCTAGTCCCGATCTTAATCCGCTGGATTATGATTTATGGTCAGTTTTAGAGAGTACGGCTTACTCTAAACGCCATGATAATTTGGAGTTCCTAAAACAATCCGTGCGATTGGCAGTGAAAATTTTCCCATGGAAAGAGTGCGTGCTTCTATTGATAACTGGCCTCAACGTTTAACGACTGTATTGCAGCCAATGGAGACCACTTCGAATAAGCTTTTTATACTTTAAATTGTTTTATATTTATGTATTAAACTAACACACTGTAAAAGTAATAAATGTTATTTGCAATAGAATATTTTTTATTTTTTATTGTAACAGTATTTATGGCCAGACTAAGTAATGTAAATCTGTGTTTAGTTGTTTGTGATTCAATATAAAATTAGTGTTCGTTACATAATTCTTTCAATTTCTATAATTTAATGCGCAATTTTTCTCACTCAGAAGTGCTATTATTATTTTTTTAAAGTTTTTTGAGTAAAAGTTTTAAACCTCTCTGTTCGTTTCTCTACCGTTTCTACTCTCCCTTTTCCTCGCATCGCATTCTTCATTACTGAGGTTCGCGACTCCCCCACTGCATCTTTATCTCATGTACATAATTTCCCTCCATCTGCTGCGATCTTTGGCATCGTAGAACTTGATGCTCAGAGAAAATCGAATTTGGTCCGATCATCTCGCGAGACTGTGACCTCTGAAACGTTTGCCCTCTATCTTGCCTATCAGCTTTCGCTCTTTTTAAGCGATATGTCCAAAGAACTCCAGTACTCTGCGAAGGCATATACTAGAAAGTCTAGTTTTAATGTTAAGTTCTTGTAGGATGCCCACTTTGGTACGAAAGGCAGTCCGTGGTATTTGCGGCAATTTCCTCCAGCCCCTCATTTCGAAGGCTTCTATACGGTCTCTGTCGACCAGTGTCCAGGTCTCCGCTCCGTAGCTAAATATGGAGAAAACCAAAACCAATAAATTCACCAACTTGATTTTTGTTTTCCGCGAGATGTTTTGATTTCTCCATATCTTAAGCAGATGAGACACTGAATTTTTGCCATCTCTATACGTATTTATCTCTTTTTCTATTGGTCTAAATTCAAAATTAAAAACAAATTAATATATATTGTAATATATACAGTGAATCGAAGCCTTGATGTGTCCGTGACCGTGGAATTTCAATCATTGAACTTAATAGTAGTCATAATAAATAAATAAAAGTGTTATTAAATAAGATTACTAACGCCGACACTGTTAGTCGACCTCATGAAAAAAACTGACATTTGATGCCACATTGTCTCGGCAATACCTATCATGAATCAATTGAGTTTCCGATTTTAGAACACTTGGTAACACTAAATAAGTTAGATTTTGTCAGTAGGCATTAGTTACTTACGTTTGTCTTCTGTCGTTGTTTCTTGTGGTTGTTTATGATATCAAACAAACTGTTTACCCCCGTTTTACATAATTTATGAGGGACCAGATCCGAACAAGGTTCGTGGTTCGTGGTTAGCAGACGGATTTGAAGCAGGTGTGTACATTTCATTAAATGGAAACAATGTGTACCATCCTTCGGATATACGTTCTGTTTCTAGGTAATCTGTCTCTTTTTTTTACAAATTTGTTATCTTATTGCAGCAATTAAATTTCAAAATTATTATGACTATCACAAGTACTCTGTCTTTTTTTTTTTAAATCCACCGATGGCTTTGAAGAGGTAAAAGACTTTGTCTACCTCGGTCAGGCTATCCAGGTTGGCTGGGGTAACTTCAAAGAGATTGAGAAACGCATACGACTGGGTTGGTTGGCATTTGGGAAATTCTCTGAAATCCTCACCTCGCAAATTCCTCAATGCCTGAAGACAAAAGTCTTTAATTAGTGCGTTCTCCCCGCGATGACTTATGGCGCGGAAACCTAGACACTGATGGCAGGCGTGACCCATAAGTTAAGAATCGTACAGCGGGCGATGGAGAGAGCTGTGCTCGGTATTTTTCTAAGGGACAAAATCCGGAACGAAGAAATTCGACGGAGAACCAAAGTCGACGACATAGCTCTCAAAATTAGCAGGCTAAAGTGGCAATGAGCCGGTCACGTCTGTCGAACCAACGACGTCAGGTGGGGAGGAAAGTCCTCGAATGGAGGCCACGGATGAGTACCAGGAGCGTGGGGCGTCCTCCAACCAGGTGAACCGACGACTTAGTGCGCACGGCGGGAAGTCGTTGGATGCGGAAGGCGGAGGACCGCATTCTATGGAAGGCATTGGGGAAGGCCTATGTCCAGCAGTGGGCAGATAAAGGCTGAGGTGATGATGATGATGGCTTAATGATCTCACGGTCGCAGTTTGAGTGATTATAAGAGCCCATAGATATATCTGCGTGAATACTGCCACACGCCTATAGACATGCAGTTTTAGACTCAAATATACACTTTGACGACTGTGGCACCCTTCAGACTGGAACGCATTCTTCCTCACGGTAGAAATATACAGGACTATAGCCATCTACCCACTCGAGTTCACTATACGTCATACCTGCAGTAATTATATAAATTGTAATATTTGCGAGTTTGATTTCTATTATGTACAAGATGTTGTTTTCCCTTATTTATCATGTCTTCATGTATTAAGTACGTACGTATTCCACTTTAAATTATTTAAAATTATTTAAAAAACCGGCACAGTCGCGTTGTTTCGATACTAGTAAACAGAGTGCCTTATCCACTAGGCTGCGACGATGGCAGATAGATTTTATCATAACCATATTTTGGTTCTGGTTCTAATAAGAGCCCTACGAAATTTTTTCATTAGTTTGATTTCGTTGTTTATAGTTTATATTCCGGACGGCCACCGCTCAGGTTTCGGCCACCACGTGTGATTTTTAGACTTCTTACTCTCGTTGAAACGTGGTGGCTCGAGTATTGCCGCAGTGGCTGTCGCGGAACGGGTGCTGGGATTGGTTCGAGGAAAATAACGAAGTCTTCAGTATGGCGTTCACACGGTCCTCGTGGCTTGACCGGCGCAGGGCGTAGNACGTGATTTGGTCAAAAATTCTGAAATGATGACCTTAGATCCCTTCAGGAGTGTCTTGTTCTTCCATACTTCATTGCATCGCCTCAGACTCAGGAACCTGACTAATATAGGCCTAGGCTTACTGGTGTTGGAGCCTAATCGATAGCAAGCAGTTAAATCCTCTTCTGTGCAACCAGTCAACTTCATTTGGTTGGTTAATATACCCACAAGCTGTTTCTGGGTCTGTGGCATCTGACTCCGGGATTCCATGAAACAGAAGGACCTTACGACGTGATGCCATCTCATGCCTGTCCAACCCCAAGAGAACAAGCTCCATCTGTGACCTCAGCATATTGAGTGTTTGTAGTGTGAGATTCCAGAATGCAATGAAATCTTGTGATAACTTGCCTAGGTCCGTGTGTGGTGACTGGTGACTGCTCAGCATTGCTTCAAACTCGGTCATCCGCTGCACAACGCTTGATTCCACGTCTTGTAACTTAGTATACAGAGCCATGATGTGGCGCTATTGATGATATGGCAGTAGTGATGATGTGAAGTGATATTGATAGAGAGAACTTCTTATGAGCTGTTGTGAAGCAAGTTTTGGAACTCAAATTATAGCATTTAGATATGAATAGGTACAAATATATATTTTTAACAATTAAAAACACTGAGAGCTCAACAAACTAGTGTGTACGCTTCAACTACCCACAGTAGAAAAAAAAAAAAAATTCATAGTTAACATTCTCTTACCAACCTCATTTTGATTTCGTTTCATCACATGTCCATATCATTCCAAGCGCGCACTTCTCTGCTTCTCTGTCACAGGTGCCACTTTCAGACTTCCTCTAACATATTCATTCCGTATTCTATCCATTCTCGTTACTCCACACATCCATCGCAACATTCGCATCCCTGCTGCACGTAATCGCCTTTCACTATTTCTCTATGCAAACAAGTACTAACCTTATATGTCAGTGAAGGAGAATTATCCGCAAGCTGCCAAACAACCACAGTTCGGTCTTCAGATCCACTCAGTACCAATAGATTGTTTGGTGAAAAGGTGACACAAGTTATATGACCAATATGGCCGTTCAGTGTTGCTTGTAATCTGTGTGTTGAGAGTTGCCAGACTCTGACAAGGCCACGAGCGCATCCACTGGCGCCAAGCTGTCCGTCTCGGGATACTTCAAGGCAGCTTATTGGTATCAAGTCGCTTTGCTCAGCCTGGTCACATATGGAATTTTGTTTATCTATATATTAATACGTGAAGCAGAAATGTTGTACCCCTTTTTACGAAAATTGCGCGGCCGGAGGAGTATACAATTCTCACACTAATAGAGAATGTAGAGAAGAAGTGCAGAATGCTAATATTTTTTTTAATTATGCATTATAAGTTCTTTAAATCAACAAAGAAAACATTATACACACTACCATGTATTTGACACACACACGCATACCTATATATTTAAAGACTGTGGTCAAACTGCGAATAGATTATTATGATTAAATGTAGAATGTCTTTGATAATAGAACCAGAAAATAATGTCCAAACTTATAATTTCAATTAATTATAGTCTTAGTAAGAATAAAGACACAAAAAAATTCAATTTTGAGCTCTAAATCATATTATTTAAACTTGCCTGAAGCAAAGTAATATTTGTGGTGGATTTAGTTTGACGTCTCTTCATTTGTTTTGTTGGTCTGAAATTAGTCAGGTTGTCTTCGGTATGAAATGAGTATATCGTAACTCTATTTCCACCTAGAAAAAACGCCGTAAGTATTTATATTTAAAAGATTATTGATAAATGAACGTGGAGCATGTCGAAAATAATTACTTCCACAAAGACTTTGCGTACACATATTTTAATTAAATCTGTCTTCGTAAACACAATTTCAAAAGTTCAGAATATCAGAGTTCATCTTAGACGCATTATATTTTTTAAATTCCTTATAAAGTTTTTGTCTGTTGATGAAAGGGCTTTATTTCTTTTATTAAAAAAATGTAGACAGATTCAGTTAAATTTAAATTCTTTCATTTCATAACTTAATATTTGAACTTAAATCAGCCTTCACAGTTTTGTTTTTATCAAAAAAGCGACGAGCTTCCGTTTCATGTGCTCACAAGTCTTTACTAATATTCGTGGAGATTGGCAATTTCAGGGACGTATTATTACATAAAAGTTACCACCTTGTGAAGGAACGTCATGAGATTTCACTGAAATATTTCTTATACAAGCGTATTTAATGGGCAATATTGAGTCGCATATTACCTGACGACACATTAGCAGCGATATTTCAAAAACACACACTAAATGAACATATTTAACACATTCGTATCTAGTCGATTCGTGGCAGTAGGATGGGAGAAATATATATCGTATATAAAATATAAATATATAATAATATGTAATACATCACAGCAAAAAATATAAAATTCACAGTTCTATGTTATTTTACAGTCCGTAAAACTTGAGAGAAAAAGTTGATCCTGTAAATATAAATGCTATGGGTACGTACTTTACGTTGGAGTTATATAATATATATATACGGTGGAATTCGTTCGTGGCTTTACTCCTGAGTACCAACGAGTTATCGAAGCACGGATAATTCAAGAGCGGTTTTTGTTATTAAGAAAAGTTTTGAATTCTTTAAATAACAATTTTGTAGGCCAAATGGTGGTTATGATAAGTTATATAACTATTTTATCATTCGGGTTCACAAATAATTAGTGTTAACAAAAACACAAGCTGTTGAATTAAATTATGGTATTTATGTTTTTTTTGTTTCCCTTGTAGGCAGACGAGCATATTGCCCACTTTTTTTTTTATTGCTTAGATGGCTGGACGAGCACACAGCCCATCTGGTGTTAAGTGGCTACTGGCGTCCATAGACATCTACAACGTAAATGCGCCACCCACCTTGAGACATAAGTTCTTAGGTCTCAGTATAGTTACAACGACTGCCCCGCCCTTCAAATCGAAAGGCATTACTGCTTCACGGCAGAAACAGGCGGGGTGGTGGTACCTACCCGTGCGGACTCTCAAGAGGTCCTACCACCTAATGGTGAGTGGTTACCGTCGCCCATGGACTGCAGCAATGCTAGGGGCAAAGTCAAGCCGCCGCTTACCGTAGTTCTTGTAGGGCAATTTAAGATACTCACCAGCAGCCAATAAGAAATGGTCTCGATCGGCAACAGCTAATGCTGCTAAGTCGTGTGCCACAGCCAATGTCCGGAGCAGTTGGGCGCTGTGTAAGCTATATAAATATATGCGTTGGTCGGCGCAACCGACCGCTACCCGGGACGAGTCATGAGCAACACAGAAGCACTTTACCTGTGAAACAAATGTACCTTTTCAACCTTTATTAGCGCAATCATCCTATTCTATCCGTTGCTTAATTGTTTTTCACAAATTAAAACGCTTCCTTTAATATCTTCAAGCTGCAATTTACTCCTTTAATTTAACGAGGGGTGAAAGGATGTTTGGTTTAAGCGATATTTTTGCAAATTTACAAAAGAACCATTTCATATGTAAAATTTTGAAAAAAAAAAAATCATAAGAGATAAACTTCTTCAGTTTTTTGAATGGGTAAAGTTAATTGAAATTCAATTTAAAACATCAAATATATAAAAATGAATTTCTGTTCGTTAAATCGTTCGTCTCGCTAAAACTCGAGAACGGCTAAACCGATTTGGCTAATTTTGGTCTTGAATTATATTTGTGGAAGTCCAGAAAAGGTTTAAGAGGTAGATAAATATGAAAATTCTCGGAATTAAATACAAAAATAACAATTTTGTTTTTCCTATGATGTATCCCCCTGTCGGACGGATTCGTTTTGTTTGTTTTAAGTTTATTTTATACAAAAGTTTAGGTCTTTTATTTATTGATTGAGGCACTACGAAGTCTGCCGGGTCAGCTAGTTGTTGATACAAATACCAAATAAAATGGACCTTTAATTACAAAGATAAGTGTCGCATATTAAGCGTGATGCCGTTAAACTAATTCGTCTTTCATCCCTCCATAGTATATATTTTATACGAGAAACGAAACGCAAGATATCATAAAAAAGATTATAGTGCAGAAGTCAGTTCATTAACCACTTGTCTTAGCCTATAATTAGTACTGAAGAAAGCTACTGTAACAGCATTAGCTGATAAACGACGTGGTGCAAATTATGTAACAATACTTATTTAACTGGAAAATAATGACATATCTTACTCAGTTCTGAAAACTTTTTAGTTAGAGCATTAAACTATTGCACTGCCGATTGCACATATAATTGAGGTGACATCAGTCTTGTACTTATTATCAATTTGCATTTTTTTTAATTTAATGATCATTTTCTTGGTGTAACTACATAAATACAATTCTTTAACACACGTACATACTGCTTTTTTGTAAATATCTCGTATAAATATTTCATGTAAGAGTTATTGATTTTTTATTTGACTTTATATTGATTCGCCTGGTTCTGAACTGACTGTATTGTGAGATCTGTTAATTAAAACATGACAGATATATTATTGTGTTTTTCTTTCAAAGATTACAATTTGGGAAAGTTCAATAATATACTATGTAGTATTACAGGACCGTCATCTGGCTTCATAATATTAAAATCAAGTGGATATTAAGACAAAACGAAAAACTAAACTGTTTTTCATCCATTTAGATTTGGACTCTTTTTTCACAGTCCAGCAATGTTAGAGAACTGTTCGAAGAATACTTCACTCCCTCGAGGGCGCTTATTTGAAATCGATCGTAATTTATTTCTCGTATAAACGGCAAAGTGGATGTTTTAATCAATTTCGTAATTCTCGATCAAGTTTCAACAAAAGTGGGCCAGTCACTTTTCACGTTCGTCTTTTTATCGTTTCTCTATTTACTTTACTTGAGTGTCACCATGTATATAGTATGTATTTAAATATGCAAATGTGGGTGTGGTTCTAAAGTAATGATAATAGTAAGTAGAAGTAATAGCGTTTCTATTTGAAGGGTGGGGCAGCCGTTGTAACTATACTTGAGACCTTAGAACTTATATCTCAAGGTGCGTGGCGCATTTACGTTGTAGATGTATGTGGGCTCCAGTAACCACTTAACACTAGGTGGGCTGTGAGCTCGTCCATCCATCTAAGCTATAAAAAAAAAAAAAACTCGTATTATTATGAAACTTAGAAATTTTGTGCACTTCTGACTAACAATAGATTAAGGGCCGCTTGCACGAGGAAACAAAAATGTAGATAGTGGAGATTCTGGAGTCGATATCATTGAGTTAAAACATCGGATTTATATCAATGAACTAATTACACGTAATTTATATTTTTTTAAAGACGACCAGACGAGCCGTTTTTTTTTTGTTGATCTAGAATCTAGATGGTCAGGCAAACTCCCTCGGTGTTAATTAGTTTCCGAAGCCCATACACAACTTAGTGCGAAACACATACGGCGCCCCTCCCCCCACCACCCACCTGTCATTCGCCCCCTAGTAGTTTACTTGTTTCGTTAAATACCTCCTCGGTGGAAAACCATAGCTACAATACGCTCAGACGAAATATTCAGAAAAATAATAAGTAAAGAATTTGATAGTTGCGTAATATTGCTTATTCGTATTAAAAATTATTGATTTTTTTGTTGATGTACGTGGCAGATAGGACTATTGTGGCGGTACATATGATGAAGAAAGATGAGGAAATTATCTCGAGGAATTCTTCAGCGGAACATACGATGCAAAAGACAGATTGTACCAAAGCGAGATCAGTTTATAGACAAACCCAGTGGTTCTTTGGCTGTATTTAATATACTATAAAAACATCACCAATAATCACCGAAAAATAACATACGAATTAATTAACTAATGCGCAAGCATTTTACTGCCATTGCTGTTTTAATTACATTTATACTTTTAATTCGAATAAGTTGAATTGCGTGGCACTCCATCTCCTCGTATGTGTATAATTAAGAATGACCAACAGGTTCATTAGAGAATGGACAGCAGCGTCAATATTACAAAAACGTATTGCGATCACCAGCTCGCATTCGTTGGCGGTAGAGCGGAAAATATTCCTGGCGGCGATACGCCAGGGTTTTCACACATAAGATTAATATTACAACAAAAATACAACACAATTCTGTGAAACGTTAATGTTGCGAAGCACTGTCTTTATTTTTACATAGTTAGCCATTGGATACCACCGGTCTCATTGTTTATTTGCAGGCATGCGTTCTGAATTAAATGGCACGACAGCGGTTATACAATTGAGATTTCGACCTCATGTTTCAAGATAATGTATTAATGTCTGTAGGATCTAGTAACCGCCTAACATCAGGTGAGTCGTAAGTTTGTTCCCTAGTTGGACGACGGGAGGGGTACCCTAACCGGGGAAAAACGTCCGTAACGTAAGATTTTTATTAGTAATGCATACAGTGTACGACTTAACTTTGTGATAGCGTACAAATTAGTAATGCACACAGTGTACGACTTAACTTTGTAATAACGTACAAAAAATAACGTATTTTTTTATCATTCATTGACCACGATCTCGGAGTGTTCGTTTGCGCAATACACTAACTCTTATGCAAACAACCGTGAATGAAGTGTACCACAATAAGTTCGCACGTTACCGAATGACCGTGGGTTGTTGCGAAACCTTCAGTTTTATTTTCTTTATACCTCGAATAGAACTAAAATTAATATTTTTATAATAAATAACGTCGTTCCTATCTGGTGTCCCAACGAAACCACATATCTTTTTTTAAAAAAACATTCAGACCTGTTTTTCTAGAAATTACAATATTGAACTTACGTTCTACAATACTTAGGTTCAAAATTAAATAGGGGCTATTAATAATGACGTACCTTGGCTTTGTGCCTTTTCAAAGGATGTAAATAAGTTCCCGTTATGAACGTCCTAAGATGCAGTTCGTTGTCCCCTTGCAGTGTGAGTAGAAAGACATTGTCGTCGGTGACATCGAAGATATGAATGGGCACTCCAGCAGTGACAGTTGATAGCAAGGTGAAATTCTCTACATTCCAGGTACAGACAGTGCCGTCTTGGGATCCGGTTATAAATATATTACCATCTTGAATAACTTTCACAGATGTCACTGATCCTCTGTGGTGATCTAGTTTTGTTACCTGTTTAACCATAAATACAAGAAAGTTCATATAGTAAAATCGGTACGTGTTAAACATCAATATAGAGACATCCTTTAAATTAATGAAGAGTAAAGCATTTAGAAATATAACTAGATTAGAATATTGACTTTATCTATATATTAATACGTGAAGCAAAAACTTTGTAAGTACCCCTTCTTACGAAAATTGCGCGGACGGAGGAGTATGAAATTTCTCACACTTATAGAGAATATAGAGAAGGAGTGCAGAATGTTAATTTAATCTTAAAATTATGCATAAAAATACATTAAATCAATAAAGAAAACATTACACACACTACCATGTATTTGACACATACACCCATACGCTTTGTTTATTGTCAAACTTTTGTTATTGCTTAAAGTCTGTACTCAAATTGAGAATAAGTTAATATTGTTTATTTTTCTTGGCGAAATCTGTCACTATAGAAATATAATAGTCTTTGACAAAAGAACCAGAATAATGTTCAAACTTATAAGTTCAATTAATTATAGTCGAATTTCGACTACTGCGGGACCATTAACTAGTCTTTGTAAATTTGAGAGCTAAATGCTTAATCTGTATAGTTTATTGTTATGTTTGTAATTTGTCTTCGAAAACTAAAAATTTAATACTTGCCAAGGCACCGTCCACTAGAGATGTGATTATAACAGCGGAATCGTCTCCACCGCTGATCACCAGCGAACGATTCACAATCGCTGCGACGCACAGTACAGGTGCGATGTGCTCTCTGTTTATAAACATAAAGACCACAATCGCATAACAATATTGAACGAAGCAAACGAAAATAAATCAAAGATGATTTGTAACTCACAATATTTTGGTTTTAACTGCTAAAGTGTGTAAGTCCCAGACGATGACGCTTGTATCTTCAGAGCCTGTGAGTAGATATTGTGATTCTCTGGTCACACACATACAGAGAATTCTGCCCGAATGTCCTGGCAAGAAATATAACGAACCCAAGTTTTTAAAAGTCATTTTTATTATTATTGCGTAGACGGGCAACGGGTTGATGATCCATCTGGTGTTGTGTCGCGTCCTTACTGGAGCCCGTAGACTTGCCGCCACCTACTTTGAGACTTGAGGTCTGTGTCATAATTGTTTAGTAATTAAGAGTGATACAATTTCTGTGGGTTTGATTTTTAGACGATTTTTATATTAATGTCTTTGCAGGCTGACGAGCATACGGCCCACCTGATGGGTGGTTGGACCAAGTTGCTGCCTACCAGCAGCTACCTATGATACTATTCAATTATCGTGGAAGTCGTGGACATATTTGAAGTACGTATTTTATCAGAAAAATTCGTACCCGCCTGCGGGATTTGAACCCGGCTTGATCGCATCGCTCTATACGAGGATACCGGGCATGTTATCTTTTAGGCCACAACTTAATTCTGGATATGTTTCTTAAATTTTTAATTTTTTTTTTATTGCTTAGATGGGTAGACGAGCTCACGGCCCACCTGGTGTTAAGTGGTTATTGAAGCCCATAGACATCAACAACGTAAATGCGCCACCTACCTTGAGATATAAGTTCTAAGGTCTCAGTATAGTTACAACGGCTGCCCTATTATTCAAACCGAAACGCATTACTGCTTCACGGCAGAAATAGGCGGGGTGGTGGTACCTACCCGTGCGGACTCATCTACCACCAGTGGGCTATGGTAAATACTTTTCACTTCTTTTGGGATTAAGCATTTAGTGCAACTTAGGTATATGCACTAGAACGTAAATGTCACTACTCTAATAATACCTTATTCCTACACTTCAGTCGGCGAAATTCAACCATATAAATGTTATGGCATTTCTCTTTAGGAAAAAAAAAACTGCTTCAATTATAGTTTCACCACTAAAACTTAATGTTAAAATAGCTACTAAACAGAAATATAAAATCGTATTTGTCTATTTAGACCTGCCTATCATAATAAATTCACTTCCTTTAATTTATTTAGATAGTACTAGCGACCCGCCCTCGCTTCGCTTCGAAAACTGTAATTTATTATTTATTTCTCCACTATATAATGAATGTTATAATACATATAAACCTTCCTCTTCAATCACTCTATCTATTAAAAAAAAACGCATCAAAATCCGTTGCGTAGTTTTAAAGATTTAAGCATACATAGGGATATAGGGACAGAGAAAGCAACTTTGTTTTATACTATGTAGTGATGTATTATTGTTACTGCAGAGATACTAATTCTAGGGTAGTCGTCGGGTCTATGCTATATTTTTCAAGGTTTTTTCTTTATTATAATATTTTTACTAGTTGTAGGACCTCTTGTGAGTCCGCACTGGTAGGTACCACAGCCCCGCCTATTTCCACCGTGAAGCAGTAATGCGTTTCGGTTCGAAGGGTGGGGTAGCCGTTGTAACTATACTGAGACCTTAGAACTTATATCTCTAGGTGGGTGGCGCATTTACGTTGTAGATGTCTATGGGCTCCAGTAACCACTTAACACCAGGTGGGCTGTGAGCTCGTCCATCCACTTTAGCAATAAAAAAAAAAATTGGATAGTATGTAGTCAGAAGCTTAGACCCTGTTCTAATAAGGCTTAGTATTAGTGAGTATTACTGTTTGTTAAGGTATACAAAAAATATATTAGTTTGCCAAATGTTCGTCCAACCTTTCCAACTATTTGTCTTCCATAACACATGCTCGCTGAATACCGAAGTTGGATCGGAACAAACTCTCTAAGTTCGCACACAACAAAACTTCATAAATTATAACGTTTTATTGTGCTACGATTTATTTAAGGTAAAATTTCATTAACGTCGACAATGTTCATCCATTTATAAAGAAAATAGGCGCTTTGAGATCGAGGCGTGGCGTAACAAAAGATCCAGGATAAAGGCAAACGTTGACTAGGCCGTGTAATAAAATTAATTATATCATTTTCGCGGGAGTCGAGACTAGAGGCTTTCCTTGCAGTGAGTTTTTGAATAATCTAATAAAGAAAGAAGAAGAATATACTAATCGAATATTTTGTCTTCATTCTTAACAACTATGTATACGTTTATACGAAAACTATTATCTGAAAATGAACACTGGCATATTTGTGATTTCTAAAATGATAGTACTAAAAATTCGATTAACCCTTTCACTGCTATGTAGGTCACTCGTGCCCTACACGGCGCACTGAAGTAATTGTGTCGATTTCTGTTACTGAGCGCCCGGATTGCCTAACTTCACCTTCCGTATACTGGTGGTAGGACCTCTTGTGAGTCCGTGCGGGTAGGTACCACCACCCTGCCTATTTTTAACGTGAAGCAGCAATACGCCGCGTAGGGCACCGGTGACCTACGTGACAGTCAAAGGGTTAAGAATGTTTTTGCATGTAATGGCATAGTTTAAATTCAACCCATGTGCCACATTTACGAGCTCTGCGTATCTGTAAGATGCGATCGAATTATTTTTGTTGTATAGAAACGTGAACGGGCTCATGGCCCACATGGTTTTAAGTGACTATTGAAGGCTAGAGAAATCACAACGTGATTGTCGCCACCCACCTAGAGAAAAGTTCCAATTGGTTTGTTTAACAATTGTTCCATACTTCGAAGCGGAATACATATTGTGTGCTCAGTGCGAGTTTTTTAACGTTCTCGATAGCGTAAAAGTTAACTCAAATTTGTATGGAGTTGCAGCGTGTGTCTACGTTTGCGCGCTAGGGCTGAGAACGTTAAAAAACGCGCACTAAGCACAATGGTTGCTTCACGGCAGATATAAATAGGAAAATAGTACCTACTCGCTGGGACTTACAATACAGGGATATACATACATACGTAATACCCACACAAGTTATTACGCAAATTTTATCAAAAAAACATCGAGTTTCATTTTTATTAAATGGAATTATTGCTTCATCGTAGTAAGAATTGTAGTCGTTGTACACAATATGCTGGGTTTGTAATTTCTTAGGAAAAAAATTTACTCGCATGCGTGATTTGAACCCTTTGCATGGTCGTATTTCTTGATATAAACACACCTTTGATATTATAAGCTCACAAAATATTTTAAATTAGAAAAACGAAAACCATTTTGTTTAAATTAGTAAGTAAGTATACATTAATTTCAGTTTGCTTTAGTATTTTAATCCAGTACCGGATTCCGGAACGGGGAATTTCCTTGAATAATTAATCAAATCTAAAAGGAGAAAGAGTGACATAAAAAGATAATTGAGAAAGATTTAATCTCAAAGAGACAGACACGATATTTCCATTACCAATAAATTTGTGTTCCGCCGAAAGAGGGACTGGGCGATAAATGGAATATATCTGTATATATATTTTAGATACTTATATTTTATTCGATATTTTTATCGAAGCTTTAATAAGTCCAAGGCAGAGACGGCCGACTTACTTAAATTCGTCAGAGGAGTTTCCATTATTCTGTTTTATTTCTACTGTAAAATAGTCATATGTTTTCGGAACAGTTCTTACAAAATACTAGTTAGTGTTTTCTGAGTAGTAAGTCTTTTCTATACTATAATATTATAAAGAGGAAAGATTTGTTTATTTGTTTGTTTGTTTCGAATAGGCTCCGAAACTACTGGACCGATTTGAAAAATTCTTTTTCCATTAGAAGCCGACATTGTCCCTGATGAACATAGGCTACTTTTTTTAAATTTTATTTTTTTGGTTTCATATGTGTTTTAATGTTTCCGAAGCGAAGCGAGGGCGGGTCGCTAGTTTATTATATTTACCTACAACTACAATTGGTTATTTAGCATCAGTACAACCACGGCAGTTGCAACAAAGTTTACCAAAGTATTTGTTTAATAAGTTTGAGTTTTGAGGTTGGGGGTAAGCCCGCAAGGAGTTCCGGAGAGTAATTAGTTAATGTTATGACATGTTGAGGGTTCGTGAGACCTTTTTATGTTAATTTTGCGTTGACCCAGCTGAGTGTGAGCAAGGAATGTTCTTCTGAGGCCCAAAACCAAAGTTTATGGTTGGTTAATGTTGGTAATAAATTAGTTATTTTATTTTATTAGTAAGATTAAATCTTTGAATTTCTGTGTGATTTTAAAGATCATTCGAGTATCCGTACAGTACTTTAATTAATATGTATATTTATATTCATAGATAGGGAGCGAAGTAAGTGAGCTCTTACCCGTACTACTATTCTTGAGTTCCAGATCTGCATCGATCACTATCGACCTGAACTAATCACTCACGATTATGGTAGAGGATGAAAATCACTGTATCAGTTACATAGCACACATAGAGAATTTAACTAGACGCTTCAATTACTAATATCCTAAGCGCAGAGAAAAAAAACACTTACCTTTGAAAGTGTGCACCTTTGAATTTGACATGATGTGCCAAAGTTGAGGATCTCCAGCCGACGGTGCGAGTACCAGATGCTGTCCCGAGGGAGCCAGCTGGAGGAGTCTTGTTCCAGCACCAGGATTCGAACCCCCCACTGATACGACACGGACTGTCGATGCTATAGGAGGGTGAAGCCTGAGGGAATGGAACGTGAGTATGAATCAGACAAAAAAGCGTAAGTAACAACAAAAAGAAGAAGTATCTGCCGGTTAGTACTATTAAAAATGTACTGACCAAGGTCTTGGATGAACCGCGAATTGAGCCATTTTGGGTCGGAAAAGCATGTGTGGATTATTTTATTTATCTATCGGTAACCATTGTGCGTTTTTTCATGCGCCTCTGTTGGACAGTGCCTTACAAGTAATTAAAAGACTCATTATATTGTTATTTGACAATGCCTTACAAGTGATAACTAGAAGGTATATCATATTAAACTAAAAATGAGTCTATTGAAAAAAATCTAACAAAAGATATATCACTTTTCGCTGTTTTCACCATTTTTATTGCACAGTATTTTTTTTTAATTATACAATAGAGGTAATGTTCCACACGAATATTATGTTCATTGCTTTAGTGTTATTAAGTACAAAACATTAATCTTGTGTATATTTCCATCTTTTTACAATAAAATAAACCATCTGTAATGATGTTATCTATTTCTAACTAAACAAAGACTAAACAGTTACAATTTTCCAGTCTGTTTGTGAACCGAATTTTTTAAACAGCCATTGTTCAGTTTTTGTCATCAATTCTTTTTTCTGGAAATAATTAGTTTTTTTTTTCTTCAAAATGTGAATATTAAATTAAAAGTTATTCAAAATTATTCATAACCTTGAAGTGATTACAACCGCATTTTGATCATTTGAAGAATTACTATTTGTATTTACGTTAGAACGTTAGATGCACGTTAGGCTATTAAATAATTATAAAAAAAAATATCTACGTTTTAGTTTAGCGTTCATTGCGTACATGTTCCAATTGAGGCCGTCAGCGCAAAAGTGGCCTAAGCTTACCATAGTTAGTATGGAGATAATGAGGTTTGAATTTACCTTTACAATACTTCGTAGGCAAAAAAATACGCGCTAAAATAATGTTTAGAAAGGTATCTGTTTTCTATGGATGAAACTAGAGATAGGCTGATATTGCATCAAAATTTATTATGTTTTAAATAAATTGCAATACTTAAGCACGAATATGAATTGTGGGTTAGGCCACTTTTGCGCTGACGGTCTCAATTAGAACAAATATAGAGTAATTTACAGTTTCTGTAGCTATGTACATCCAACACGATAAATAATACACTAGAATTACTATCATAGTCATCATACGTGATAAATTACCCTTATGTTCTATCTATTGTAGTACTAGAATTTGCTATAGTTAAGTTATTCATGAGAACGACAAACTATTTAAAATAAGGTGATCATCCAACAAACTTATTAACAGTTTGAACAAAAAAAAAAGTAAACTTTTACTATTCTAAATTTTAAAGAGATTGCTGAATAATCTGTAATAATAATCTGCGAGCAAAATAATCAGTAAATTACGGAAAAATTAATTCCACAGCAGAGATGTTCTCAGAGATAAAAGCAAACTACAGTTCAAATAAAGAGGTGTGGCTAGAGCGGAGAACCTTTTGGGTTCGTTTCTAATTGAATAAAATAGATTAGCGGAATTGATCTTTTACCAATGGTTTTCGTGTTCATTACCACGTGCTCCGACTTAATTGATCGCTTTACCTTTTACTTTAGGCCACCCCACTTGATGCCATACTGTATTCCCACGTACGCCCGCTCCCCCTACATTTCTTTTCTCACGAGGAATGTAATTATGAGAACAAATGGTAGAGGTTAATGTATTTTACGACCGATCTCTAACTGCTGTAATAATTCTATTGACCCGTTACCTTTGTTCTCGGCATTTTTAAGGTCGACGTTATTTACTTGCGGTTGATTGAATATGAGAAGTTGATTATGCTGGTATTCAATTAAGCAGGACCGTGATCCGATTTAGATAATTCGTTTTGGAAAATAGGTTTTGTTGTTTAATGAATTTACCGTAACAATAATAAAGAAAATGTAAACTTTATTGTTTACTTATTTTAGTATTAAAATATCAATTCTTATATAAATTTGAAACGCTTCCAAACCAAATAAAGATTATGGAGATTACAGGTAAAGATTAATTTAATTAAATAATGTTTTTGAATGAAAGGTCTTTGAATATAAAGTTTAGTTTACAGTAAAAATACATATTTTGAATTCAACATTATATTTTATGTATAATACAATCAACATATCCGTGGCCATTCGTCATTGCTAACATTACTGATTTTGTTATATAATGAGAATGAATATTGCATATGAATTTTTATTTAGTTTTGAACGTAGAAAACTTATTCGAATCGAATTTAAATTACACAATGACTTATTAGATAAAATTTGATTTGCTTGATTGGATATTTGAGGTTAGCTGCTACGGTTGCAGGGGTAGGCATTTATGCGGTATGCCAGTCATGCGTTCCAGTTTGAATGGTAGATATACTATATATGCAATTGAGCAGTCAACCTCAGATCTCAAAATAGGAGGCGTTATTCACATTGCAATTTTTATCGTGTCCGCTTACCACTGACCTAATTTCTGTGAAGCAATTACAACCGAAATAAGAAAAATCTCAAATTTTCTATACGTATTTACGTAGTTAATATTCTGCAGATAACTTTATTAACAGTAACGTTAATTACCAGCCGTTTAGAGGGACGAGTAGAGGCTTATCGTATCCATCGCACCAAGCCATCGCAGCTGTCACGAGTGTGGCGAGCACACCGCGTCGAGCCACTGCCGGCCGCAACCAAGCTATTATCTGAACCAATGAACACGACCAGTCAATAGGGTAATTGTGTTTATATCATACATTCTATGTGACTTCGGATTTCGCTGAAAATTCCGTTGGAATTTTCTTTTAAAATCATTGGGATTGCACTTTTTTTTTTTATTGCTTAGATGGGTGGATCGCTCTTAGCGATAAGACCGCCAATTGTACTTTTTGTGTTTAATGTATAGCACTGTTTATTTGTTTTTTGATGTACAATAAAGAATACTCTCTCTCTCTCTCTCTCTATAAATATTAGTCAATGATTAGTTTTATAACTCCATCCTGTCTAATTAGGCAATTTGGTAATTGTGCAAGGCTATTCGTTATTTTTATACTATTATGATTCGTTATTTTTATACTATTAGAATACGGAATGAATATGTTAGAGGAAGTCTGAAAGTGGCACCTGTGACAGAGAAGCTGAGGAGTACACGTTTGGGATGGTATGGACATGTGATGAGACGGAATGAAAATGAGGTTGTTAAGAGAGTGTTAACTATGAATGTGGAAGGATTTAGAGGAAGAGGTAGACCTAAGAAGAAATGGATGGATTGTGTGAAAGACGATATGGGTAGGAGGGGAGTGAGCGAAGAAATGCTATATGATAGAAGAGTATGGAAGGAGAAAACATGTTGCGCCGACCCCAGGTAACTGGGAGAAGGGCAGGATAATGATGAAATGATGATATGATTTCGACCTGGCCATTCTTGTTGGGATATATGTTTAAAGTCTCTTTACCACGTGGTCCGTTTTCCGTAATCGCAGGGTAGCAAAGGTTTATTCCGATAGCGAACAAAATTCAGACCCTATTATAGAATAATTACGGTCACTGATTAACTATTACGATAATAGATATATAATTTTAGATATACTTCTCATTTGATTCTCTTTCACATTCACTTACCTGCGCTCCCAACTGCATAGGATCCCGTGTTAATATATCACTGGACTTCTTCACTGCTCCGTAGACGAGTTCCACGTCTCTGTCCAGTATGTAACAACGCACGTGCTCGAGTATGCAGCGTAAATACGATATTGTCACCGTTTGGACCTGTTCCAAACGGACATAAACATAAATGGGTGTTTGCTAAAATTTGGTCTGCTAATTTTTTTTAATTGCTCCAATTTGAAACGACTCATTGGTTATTGGCAGCTTGAGATATGACATAGAAGCCTGAATTGTATTGAACATCAGATGTCTTACTGTAAGCTGGAAAGCGTGACTGATGAGCCACTGTAAACAGAGGTAGGAAAGAAAGGTAAAGGTAGAGGTAGAGGTAAGAAAGGCAAACAAAAATCCTCAAGGATTTTCTGATGTGAATTTACCGCAAAAAAATCTATGTTTATATCTAAACTGTCGAAAATCTTTCACAAAGATACACCGACCGGGAATAAAACCCAAGCTCCGTAATTTAGTACTCCGATTAACTAACCACTTGGTTAGTTGGATGGTCCTTTTATAAAACCATACCTACAATAATTTACCCATCGAGTCAATACTGGTTGTAGAACCTCTTGAGAATCCGCGCGGGTAGGTACCACCATCCCGCTTATTTCTGCCGTGAAGCAGTAATGCGTTTCGGTTTGAAGGGTAGAGCAGCCGCTGTAACTATACTTGAGACCTTAGAGCTTATATCTCAAGGTGGGTGGCGCATTTACGTTGTAGATGTCTATGGGCTCCAGTAACCACTTAACACCAGGTGGCCTGTGAGCTCGTCCACCCACCAAAGATATAAAAAAAAAACTTGAGGCTGTATGGATAACAAATAATAATTGATGTATGCAATTATGTGTATCTTTGAACGAAATATAAATTTCCCTGTAATATTTTAGGTTACGTGACTCCAATGATAAGCGCGAAGCTCGCGTGTTCAGAATACGGCAAATGTATGGGACTTTTTTTTTATTTATGGTAGAAAAATGTAAATTGAACTCTAAAAAAACATAAAATTCTGAAGCCCATACTGAAAAATATTCATGTACAATATCTATAACATAGCCATTGTACTATAAGAGTCATGTATATATTGGATGTTATATATTTTCAGCAGTCTAAACCAACGCGCCGTAAGAAAGAGCCAACAAGTTCCAAGTTTACTTTATGACAAATCTCCAAGGATTGGCTCGAGAGTGGAAATGTTTTGTTCCGACTAAGAACCAAACTTTAGTATTTTGTTCCAGGGATTATCTTCTAATGGCCGAGCAATTTTACTCGAGCTTGTAAGGAATTAATGACGAAACTTCGTTAATTAACCCCATTTGGTGATTATTCAGAAGCTAGGTCAGTTTCAAATGGAAAATGTTCATATACAGGGTGTAATAGAATGTGCCCTAAAAACGTAGTCACAAAGTAGTGCAATTTTTAATGTGATTTAATAAATTATTCATTGGAAACAACTAGTGTCCCTGGTAATAAGAGCCTAACAAATTTGAAGACTTATTATGACTTAAATGATGCCGTAAAACTTAAGTGACATATGTTTTCTATAATGACATATTTATTTCTTCTCATGCCAGTCTTAAAAGGTGACTACGGGTATCGACCGAGAACAGGCTTACTCCGAGTATAACTAAGATATTGCGGTCCCCAACTGGTACTTATTTAAATCAAATCTAATCAGAATTTTGTTTATTCAACATAAATGAAAGTACACACTTGTTGAACGTCAATAAAAATTACCGCCAATTCACAAAAACTAGCCTCCGTCCTGAGAAGAACTGGCAAGAAACTCAGCTGGCATGTCTTTTATTTTTTTGGAGTTTACTCCTTTAGAATCGATTTACATATATAGGCCCGGGGTATGAAAATTATGGGGACCAAAATCGTACTAGCATGTCACACGAAATGCGTTATGCGCCTGATTGGCTCCTGATTGCGTGATGCGTGCGCGCGCCAATCAAAATCGTACTAGCATGTCACACGAAATGCGTTATGCGCCTGATTGGCTCCTGATTGCGTGATGCGTGCGCGCGCCAATCAGGAGCCAACGCGCGGCCGCGTTATTGCAGGTGACGCCGGGCTGCTGCGCCGGCAGTCCGCCACAAAGCCTCGTACTGATCGCGCGTTTCTCTCATTATTGTATTTTTGTATTTTCATATATTTGTTAGTCGTTTGTTTTGTGTCTCGTTAATTTGTTAATAATCTGTAGTGTATCGTGTTGTCGTAATATAGAACTATTTCTCGTATTGTTTCGTTTAATTTTTTATATCCAGTAAACTCCAGTCGTGCGTCGGAGCGGACACACACACTTTTTTTATTTTTATTTTTTTTATTTTTTTTATTGGTTGTATACTACCCTTATTGTGAGACTGCACGGGTGGCTGCTATGAGATGCATTTGAGATTTCGACCTCATGACGGCAGCATCCACATTCACATTGTGAGGTTTATCAACTTCAGTAACCATTTAAAGTTAGACTTGAGCATCTGTAATCTATGCAATAAAGCGGCTGTCCCATCCCTCAAAGGTGACCAATAAATATATAGAAAACAAATATATAAAAATAAAAATAAAACATTTCTAACTAGAACTCGTAAACTGAAAGAAAACTGACAGGAACGGTAGTAAAGTTTCCTCGAAACTAACAATCAAAGTTTTATTATTTTGTCGACGAATTAAGACCAGCTTACGTGAGCTCCGGTTGTCATAATGACAAAACTTGCTAGACTATCGATGATGTGTAATCGTTGGTGATTACCTCTTCAATGTTTGTGTAACAGGCCGTCGTTACCTGGCTTTTGGTGGGCAAATAAATTATTACGAAACTTCGAGAACAAAGGGTTGCGTTGAAACTTTATGTTGATGAATTTGTGAGGTTGCGGAGGTCGGGTACGATGCTGAGTTTCTTAAAAGTGTTGTAATTTTTTTTATTCTGTATTCGTATTTTGTAGGTTTTCTTAACTTTGATAAATTAAAAATGTACAGTATTTTTTTGTAACATTTTTTTTCTGTGTACCTTTTAAATTGCTTATTTCTTAGATGAACTATGTAGGTAATACTGATTTATTCATTGCACCTTAACGTTTTCTCTCTGGGATAGTGATAGGTGCTGTTAACTAATAAATTCACCCATTGTGGTTTAAGTTCATAGTTTTTACGTGCAAAATTTATTTATATCGCCTCTTCTGAATAATAAACGGACAGTCTTTTGTTATGTAAATTCATCTATGCCCTTCAATTTTATGTCAAAGTTTTAAACCAAAGATACGCTTCAAACTTCTGAACAAAACACAATGTTATACTCACGGCCGCTAGTAAAAAGTCGAAGTTGCAAACGGTTAGGTCCTTCAGCTTAGAGAAGTCCCCAGCCAAAAGTAAATGGAGCCAAGACTCCTCTACGTGACGTTGTGTGAAAGCGGCCGCCGTCCTACTTGCCGAATGGAATGGCGTCGAATCTAGAAGAGCGTCGTCATCGTCTACACAACCTGATAAAGGAAAATGTACTTTAATCTTGCCACAGTTGGGCTATTTTAGGGCACCCAGGTAACATTCCCCTATAATTTAGACTCCGGTGGGAGTGTTGCTGTTTCAGATACGATAGCAATAGAATTACACAGCTGACGCACGTAATCTAGAATTTCCGGGAGAAGAAAACACAGGTGCTGCCATTAATTTATATTATAACGCAGATTCAAGAATTATGAACTAAAACGCAAGTAATCGTAGCCTTACAGAGCGTAAAACTATATCAGAATAGACCTAGCTTGCTTACAATGAATTATACCAGTATTTTCAATGTAGGTCAATTAATAATAATAATAATAATAATATTGAACACGTTTTCTGCTAGAAAACTTCTGGATTTGTCGAAGACAATTTACCACAAATTTTATTGCTGTCATGCCATGTAATTTGTCTGTTTTAGTGCAGGATCCGGCGTGTCATTGCGTGACGATGAACCGTTTAGCGGATGATAAATTGTATTCGGATATTTTGAATTTTACTTTTGCAGCAACAAGCCTAGTTCGGTTTTGTATACAAATATATTTTCATTAACGCGAGCGCGTTGAGTAATAAGGTTACGTATACATCTATTGTATTCTTTGGAAACAAGTTTTGTTATAAGTATCATTAATCTGCTAATATGAAAGGTGACCTTCGAATATGAAAGGTGACCTTCGATAATCGTATTTTTTCAACTAAATATTTATTAATAAATAAGAGAAGATCAAAAGTATGAAAGATCCAATAACCAATGCTGGGATACATTGACATCTCTTTATGCAAGCTACGAGTCCGCCGGATTCTAACATAGTGACGTGTCCCTATAGACATCACCAGATTAATACTTGAGACATGAGTTAAAAACATATTTACTGTAAAAATAACTTTCAAAGAGCAACGCTTCTCAACAAAAACAAACAATGGTGGTATCGTTACAGTCTACCACCAGTAAAAATATGTGGTGGATACTCAGCTAACCGAGCTCTTTTTTTATGATTGAAAGATTACTGGAGGCCTTTCCTATTTCACCAGGACAGGTGGGCGAACAAAGGCTCAGCCAGGAGGGGTGGGATTTGCTAACAACTGCCTGAGCGCCTCCGAAGGAAACCTAACAACTCAAGAGCAATTACTTCGCGAATGAATCTACCACCGGATCGGAATCGCGACCCGCTGAGAAGATCCGGCGAGAAACTCAGCGAGCTGATGCATGGGTAAGGTTGCACGTCGACCTCTTTGTCGAGTTCGACGAGTACGGTTACCGAGGTTCTTAAGCCGGTTCCTAGTGTTAGAGCTAAAGGCGTCTAAGGTTATTGGATCTGAGGGATCCGTAAGGACGTGAACTGACCGAGCTCGTGTGCTTCTGAAGTGTCCGTGTCGTCGGCGTCGTTGAGGAAGGAGGAGAAGTGTAGTGCAGCAAGGTCTGAATGGGCGTCCCGAAGAGCGCTCTGCACGCGAACATAGCGGCGTCGGGCCCGGGCACCGGCCGCCGCCGCCGCCCAACGCCAGGTACTACGTCCCGACACTATTGTCTCTGTTATGAGATTCTCTGAAAATATTCTCTTGTGCTACACCGTAATGAACATTAAACTATTTTTTTTTGTATGCTTAACGGCAAACGATGGGAAGCTGTTTCAACTCGTTACAAATTGAGTTGCTCGCTCCGGGCATCTCAATATTGCAGTAATTGTAACGTTACAATGCCTCTTGTAAAAATGTTTTTTTTTTTTAATCTAGTATTTAAAAAAAAAGACAAACCCGCCAAGTTTCTTTCCAGTTCTTCTCAGTACGGAGGCTAGTTTTTGTGAATTGGTGGTAGTTCTTTTTGACGTTCAACAAGTATGTACTTTCATTTATGTTGAATAAAAAAAAATTGATTTGGTTTGATTTGAGTTAACTTTTACGCGATCGAGAAGTTAAAAAAACTCTCACTAAGCACACCGTGAATACCGTAGAAAACGCAAAACGAAATTGTCTAATCCTAAAATATAGAATACGAACAGTTTAAAAATACATATTTGTACTTCTGGAACAGTTAATACGCAAATTTATCAAGACTGTAAAAAAGTTTTCTTCATATATTTACCACGTACTATCCGTCTTTGGAATGAGCTCCTCTTAACGTTGTTTCCTGAGCGCTATGACATGTCCTTCTTCAAACGAGGTTTGTGGAGAGTATTAAGCGGTAGGCAGCGGCTTGGCTCTGTCCCTTGCATTGCTGACCTCCATGAGTGACGGTAACCACTTACTATGCGGTGGGCCGTATGCTCATCTGCCTACTTGGGCAATAAAAAAAAATATCGGTAATGATTCCGATAATTTCTACTTACTCATCATGTACTTGGCGACACATAACGTCGAAAAGTTAAAATTTGCATCTTTTAATGTTATAACGGCTTCGCTATTGCTCGTCGGCATCAAAAGTTCTAAAAGTTCCAATTCCGTTAGGCCAAACTCCGAACAAGTTATATAACCTAAAACAAAAAGAAAACTGGCTGCAAATGATTTCTATTTCTACTCCTATAGAGCTAGAAATCGAGAAACTAGTTGTTGACAAAGTCAATAAGCAACTAGTATATTATAGGTCAAATCTATTTTAGTAACTCCGCGGTGCTTGGTATTTTTTTTGTTTGCTAAGATTAATGAACTAAACTTCATTCCACTTATGGTTGTCACTCACTTGCTAATTTACTAAAAGCCTTTGAACCGAAGACCACTTCTAAATTATCGAAGGCACCGTCAATGTAGTCTCCGTAGCATTTGTTTTCCGGGCTTTCTTCGATCGCATCCAAAAAGTAATAGCAGTTCTGAACTTTGAACTTTTCCTTTTGCGCCGGGGTCAATTGCAATTGCTCTAAAGACATCGCACTGGTGCATACTAGGAAGACATTCCTTGGAAGAGACATCGGTAGCCACGACAGCCCTGTTACTATATCGCACTCTAAAGGATTGACTCTGTGAACGTTATCAATAAATATAAACAATATTTCATTTTCCATCTCTTCGCATCTCCGCAATAGACTTTGAAACCAGTTATTAATGTACAGAGGATCAAAGCTGGCGTCTTTAGGTAAATAGCCTTCGGGAATGTTCAAGATTATTGATATTTGTTGGCACATGACTCTTAAAAGTTCCAAGTTGTAGGCCGATCGCGGCGTCGAAGCGGAAAACCTTATTATCCTTAGAACTGGCTTCGAGAAAATTTCCTCGCATTTTGTGTACAAGTGCGTCAACAAAGTGGTCTTTCCGGAAGCGTCGGGCCCGTATATTAACACCGGAGGATGTCGAGTTCGGTTCTCGTAATTTTCCTTCACGGTGCTCAAAATATTTTTAGATGCTTCTTCTATTTGTTTAGCGTTGACTTTGTAAGCTCGATCGTGTTCTATACATATTCTTAAATGAGTGATGTGCTCGAGAAAAACTTCCTGAAATAAATAAAGCGGAACCGTGAGCGAACGATTAATTATTCCTAGCGGCACCCTGAACTAAAGATATCAAAGTTGCTTTGTAACTTTCAGCCGGTAATTTAATTACTTTTCGAGTTTTAATTACGCTTTTTAACTCTAACCTTGTTGTCTGTTTTGTTGTTCATTTAATTTATAGCTACGATGTTGTTTTGTGTTCATTTAAATTCAGAATTCATAATTATGGTGTGTCGGGTTTTGAAATTATGAAACAAGCCTATCAACTTGTAACACTAACACTCTAGACGTCGCAAGATCGATATGAAAACAAGAAATGAATGATATTATCACTGGCACGAGCGAAGGTTATTCTTTAGTCAACTTTAACAAAAATATACTACCTGTACAGTCTTCTTCCGTCCCTTTCCTTGATCAGGTTCAGTACTGAGACTATCATCGACTAGTGAACTCACTAAGCCTAGAATTTTTTCCCTGAATGGTGCTAATTTTTCTTCATTCTCAGATCCCCCATCCGTCCTCGAAGAATCAGCAGACGATGGCCTAAATTGATAAATTGCGGTCTTAATTGGTTAAAGAAAGATTCGAACCATTGAATCTATTTGAATTATGATCTTCTTGCCCTTATTCGACAAGGTTGATTCGGTAGGGTAATAGGTAGAAATTTGGATTTTTGTTTTGGCTCAGTTTTGCAGCCAATATGACTTAAAGAAGTTTAAGAATGGAAGACTGTGGGTTGATACAAAAGGACATAAATGATTGTTGAGCGGATAAAGTTACAAAATAAGTTTAATTTACTACTGCTGTAGAAGGACGTCAGGTAATAAGAAGAGGTCCTACATAATTAGTAACTTTTTTGTATGTATATCCAGGTTAGTTGGATAGACTCCTGTCACAATTCGTCTTTTCGCATTAAAAGTGTACAATTTCCAAAAATATTCGAAATTGAGTTAATATAGGGAATCATTTGGCATCACCAGTATTTTTCGCATCAAAAAAGCGTAGTTTAGTAGAAGTCGTCGTGGCCTAAAGGATAAGACGTCCGGTGCATTCGTTGTTGCGATGCACCGGTGTTCGAATCCCGCAGGCGGGTACCAATTTTTCGAATGAAATACGTACTTAACAAATGTTCACGATTGACTTCCACGGTGAAGGAATAACATCGTGTAATAAAAATCAAACCCGCAAAATTATAATTTGCGTAATCACTGNCCGGTGCATTCGTTGTTGCGATGCACCGGTGTTCGAATCCCGCAGGCGGGTACCAATTTTTCGAATGAAATACGTACTTAACAAATGTTCACGATTGACTTCCACGGTGAAGGAATAACATCGTGTAATAAAAATCAAACCCGCAAAATTATAATTTGCGTAATCACTGGTGGTAGGACCTATTGTGAGTCCGCACGGGTAGGTACCATCGCCCTGCCTATTTCTGCCGTGAAGTAGTAATGCGTTTCGGTTTGAAGGCTGGGGTAGCCGTTGTAACTATACTGAGACCTTAGAACTTATATCTTAAGGTGGGTGGGGCATTTACGTTGTAGATGTCTATGGGCTCCAGTAACCACTTAACACCAGGTGGGCTGTGAGCTCGTCCACCCATCTAAGCAATAAAAAAAAAAAGTTTAGTTTTAGTTTTTTTTTTTAGTTTACCTATATTTTGACTACTATTAACAAAATTAATACATAATTTTATTTGACTTTCAAAGACAAATAATGTAACTAATAAAAAATAAATGTTGCAAATATGATTAATATTAAAATATCACATGTTAAACCTTTAAAACACTCTCCTGTAAAATTAGTAAGTTTTGAGATTATACAGTTTTAATGCGAGAAGACGACTTGTTTCTGATGAAGTGCATCTTTTTATTACTATTACAAATATAGCCAGGATCGATTGACTCACTCTAGTCTTATAAAGTGAGTATCGGGTAATGTCTCTTCCATTTTTTTCTTCAGTTCTAACAGCCTTGTATGTGCGAGGACAGTAATTTTGGAGTCGTCCTCTTCAACTTCCGCCAAGTCACGAAACACTGCTATAAGTCCTTTGGGATGATTCCCGTTTGATAAAAGTTCTGCAATTAAAGTTATGTAGGTTTCACATGTCGTAGATATTTCTTTTTTCGTCTTCCTGAGTTACACACGCTTAACAAAAAAAAGACTCCTGCTACTAGTATTACAGTTCATAGATAAAAATCCGTGTAAAGCAACTCTTAATTTTCAAGATATACATTCAACATGCCAGACATAATTTCAATCGGGGAAAAACACACACAAAATAAGCATTAAATTTAACATTTGAAAGGTAATAGTGATGTGATTTGTAAGAAATTAGGTTAACCTTCACTCTTTCACCCTTTCATGGTGTATTTTTTTTAAATGCGAACAAAACTTCAACTTACGTTGCAACTTAATAGGGATTCTATTGAAAAGTTTGGTTAATGTAAACTGGAGCAATTCAATTTAATTAAATAGAAAACGCAGTTATATGTTCGCCGTAAAAGAAACAAACAAAATATATTATCTTATTTATATATTATCTGAATTTCCAATTTTAAGTTTATCCTTGACAAAATATCGTCCTCGTGGATTCGATGTACATTAAAAATAAAATATGAGTTTATGTATTTTTTATCGTTTCTAAATGATAAGTAAGTGTTGTCTCTTTTCCATAAATGTGTCAAAGTATTTTGGAGCACGTGAATAATATCCTCGTTGTGTAGGAAAACATTGTAATAAAATTACAATTGCTAACACAAATGGGATGCATTTTGATGCATTTACGAGCACTGGGCTGCCAGACTCTTTAGCAATAATTTACATTGTTAATGGAATAGATACGATGCGGATAGTGCAGTATTGGTCATTGAAATGATCCATGAGATAAGCCCATATGCCACAATGTAAATCTTTCATTCCATGTTAATAGTAATACGCGGAGGATATTCGGCGTGAGTTTTTACGTCATTAGAAGTTACGGAATTAAGAAAAGCTGCAGTTTCTGCAATTTTTTTTTCCAATTATAGCAGACGGTTAGGGGCAACCTGATCATAAGTGGCTACTGTCCCTAATGCACACGGGTGATGATGAGGAGACGGACAAGTTGATGACTACCACTAAGAAACTTTTCAAATATCGTTATAGAAGAATGTGTCATAGCTCTCGGGTAACACCGTTGAGGAAAATTCACTCCGGAGCTGGATGGTATGTACTCGTTATAAGTAAAAATGAGAAGATCATCTCCAACAATAGTGCATCATCATCTTATAGCACTCCCAGAGACTGCAAGTTTCTCCGATTACCCAGAGATTTCCAGCAATCGAGTGATTAAAAAGTTAGATCGACCGTTGTATGCAAATTACTAATATTATAATCAATAAGTGTTAGCAAATAACTGTAAAATTTAAATATTAAATTGTAAGTTAATTTGTCTGTTCATGTTCTGTGTGGTCGTGTGCCGTTCATCTAATTTGGCGTTGAAACGTTGTATAGTTGTCGGTACAGCAAGGAAAGTTTATGCTAAGTATAGTAAGTATCATTTTCATTAGATATTGGACGCGAGATATCTTTGAAGAATAACCAAGGGCACAAACATTTGGTCCATCATGTACAAACATCTTTCACAAACATTTAGTGACCTAATCCTCTGCGTAGCTTTTCCGTGTCTGCGAACGGCACCCAATTAGCTAAGCGTTTCACTTCCCGGGCCCTCGTGTTTGGAGTTCATTATTTTTGTACACAACAATCCTTTACACAATGATAGTTGCGCAACAATAGCGATAGCAATAGCCAACGATAGCGTGTATTCCATATATTTAGTGAAATTCATAATAACTAGCGGTCAGTATGTGAGTATTATGTATATTTGGATGTTAATAATAATTAACAAAAAAGGTATAATACAATAATATACCACGGTTCGTTTTTCAATAGTCTAATGTCATAAACACATCAAGTTGGAAAGTTTTTCGAGAGATCTAAACTCCGGACTGTAAAGAGTCCTTAAGTCAGCAAAACTTGCTAAAGCTCCTCTAAATTTCTAACTTTGAACAACTTAAAGGAGACTTCTAGGTACTCGTCTATTATATTTTACCATTGGAGTCGGCGATAACAACCTCTGACATCTGTTAGATACACGGATATACATACTCGTATTATTATGCGGTAATTTATTATATATTTTTATATCGACTTGTCCGCGTAGTAATAACAGTGTGTCAAATTATTATTATTTTGTCCCAAAACTCGCTCAGAGGTTTTCCTTATCAACTATTATAATAATTGAACTTTGTAATCAGCGAGAAGAATGGCCGTTAATGTATTTTGTTCTGTAAGTAGTCCTTAGTTTTTTTTTGCTTATTTGGGTAGACGATCTCACTGCCCACCTAGTGTTAAGTGGTTACTGGAGCCCATAGACATCTACAACGTAAATCCACCACCCACCTTGAGATATAAGTTCTAAGGTCTCAAGTATAGTTACAACAGCTGCCCACCTACTACCCCACTCTTCAAACAGAAACGCATTACTGCATCACAGCAGGAATAGGCAGGGTAAAGTTAAAGGCCGGTTTAAATTATCATAAATTAAAATCGTGGAGCTATTCAATATACAGTCATGGAATCTTTTGATATGGAGTTCTGCTTATAGGTATATTTTATTTATATCTATGTATGCAATTGTAACTATTGACCGCGTTTATCTTACCCAGAGCTAATTCGCATTGTGCTTCGACTGGGCTTCGCAGCAGATTTGAAACGTCGACTCCCCTGGAAATTGCCTCAAGAATCACAGCATTGAATGCCTTCTGCACCTCGGCTAGGCGGCTACGTTGCTCGTCTCGTTCCAAAAGATCGCTGAACCTGTTCCAAAGTTACATACTCATTATAACTTAGCCAGCCAACAGAGCCGCTGTATTTGCTCTGTCGCGCTCTGGTCGAGATACAGATATAACAGCATCTACATGACAGTACCAAAAAAAAAGATAAATTCTTAAAACCGCGTATTAATAAAAGGGAGATGCAGAAAAATTTGATGTTAAACTATGGACTTATAAATTTAACGAGAACATAATGAAAAGTAAGAGATTCGAATATTTTTTTGAAGAATTGTTACATACGAATTCTATTAGGTTAAGAAATGACTATAATTTAGCGTAAGATAGACATATCCAGTTTGAACGAAGCTTGTATCCCTGTTATTAAGACCTCAAATTTGTTATTAAGACCTCAAATTTATTTAAGACGGATGATGACATTCATCTTGAGGTATCTAGGCTCCGGTAACTGATTATGTCTCCCGATTTAGCTTATAAGATGCATATATCTTTGCATGGCCAGAACTAATTAAAATCCATTTGAGTGTCGTTGATTGAATCACTTATAAAGAGCCTTACGCTTATGAAGTAACAATAAATGAAATGAAATGAAAAGGCGAAGGAATAAAGCACATCTGATGCTCTCCGAAGTAGATATTTCGGTATTGTAAATTTTTGTCCACTCCCGAAACCCGTGATAGTTATAAAACACAAAGAGGTCAGTTCTGTGTGATCGAGCAGCTCCATTAATTTGGGTTCTTCTTATCCAGGATAATCCTTGAAGATTGATCGAGACAATATAACATTTCGTACATACTACATACAATTGCTTTCAGTACAGATTACTGTATGTTTTGTGTACATTGGTATTTTGGCAACTATAATTAAACAGGTAAAATATAATTTATGTCAATATTTCGAATGTACGTGCGGAAAGACTATGCTTGATGTTATATCGAGATATCTACCTGAATATTTAAGGAGATTTAAATCTATCTTAATATTATAAAGCTGAGGTGTTTGTTTGTTTGCTTGGTTGAGCGTGCATACTTAGGAACTGGTCCGATTTGAAAAATTATTTTACTATTAGATAGCCCATTTGTTGAGGAAGGCTATGGCTTAACATAACATCTTAAAACCGCAGCAAAATAATGCTCAAGCCCGTAATAATGAAACGTACCAAGCGCCGGCCGGTGCGGGGCGCCACAGAATAAGAAGAATAACAAGAAACACCTAAATCACACCAAGAAAGGCTTTGAAAATTGTAGATTTTTCTGGATTTCTCCAGGATCCCCTCATCAGATCCTGATCCTAATGACTACAGGACCATTCGGGAATTCTACACTTTCGAACAAAAAAAAGAAAAAATAATTATCAAAATCGGTTTAAGCATTCTCGAGAAATAGGTGAACATGAAATCGTGGTCGAAATGATAACTTCCTCTTTTGAAGTCGGTTAAAAAGCGTGATTTTGGACCTTAAATAGCTCCTAACATTCTATTATTCAAAAATATTTTCACCTTCTACGTAAATGAAGTTGCGGGCAAAAGCTAGTATATAATACTTTAGTTTTCATAATGATTACGATTCAGGTGTACGGAAGAAATACTATTATTTGTTTTTTGTTTATATTCTTTCCATTTACTCGTTATTTTTCGGACTGAATTATCCGATACCATTTGATAAATTCACAATCGAACTGTGCGTAGCGCATCTAAAGTGAAGTGAAAAAGTGATTTTTCCAAACAAACCTAAGCTAAATTACAAATAAAGAAAAAGACATACACATATTTTCCCAAATTGAACCCCAAATAGAAATGCCGATATCAATTTTCGAATACACAAAATACAATGAAATAATAAAATATGATACTTTTCCCTTTTTCTTGTTACCCAATATTGTTTGGTTCTCACAAATGGCCGAGACTAAAATAATCGTAAAGAACGTAATTCGATTACCATAAACGTTTTCGAGGAGGTTTTCCCTCTTTATCAAATTACGACTTGAACATCTGACACATTCGGCAAATTAATGTTATTTATATGTTATTTATATACAATCTGCCTACAAAGAATATTGCGGTATTTTGGTCATGTTGCACGTAGGGATACCAGCAATTTGGAACGCCTTGTGGTGACCGGTAAAATAGAGGGGAAAAGGCCTAGGGGTAGAGGTCCCAAACGATGGTCGGACCAAATAGCGGAGGAACTGGGGATACCTATCAGCGACGCACTCCACCGGGCTGCAGGGCGGGATCGATGGAGACAGTTGGTTGACGAAATCGGACGGAGTCACGATCCTCAGCAGTGAGGAACCGATCGAAGAAAGAGAGATATGTTATTTTAATACCGAGGCGTTAAAGTAACCTACCGACTCATTTGCGGTTCCTATTTGATTTGTATTTTATTGACTTTTATCAAAACATAACCGAAATGGACAAAATAATTGACAGAACGTACGTATGTATTTTTTTTTCATAATTGAATTATTGAGAATCGATCTCCTGAGGAATTAAAAGCTTGTATGTATGTATATAGTATTATACTTAGTCTGGCCATAAATACTGTTACAATTAAAAATAAACAAAAAATTACATTTGAATTTGGAATCTGTCATTTTTATATGATTGTTCATTGAGTTTTCTCATTTTGACGCCAATACATTTTGCGATATTATAATGGGGTGGGGTGATAAAGAGAACTGAATCGCTGTGATTGCATTACACAAAGTACTTATATAGCAGCCGTGAAACAATAGAATTGAGGTTCGCCCTCAAATCTGAAGATGGGCGGCGGCATTCATCTATGATATCCGGACCACGTCTAATATTAGATATGCCAATGCGTCGTCTGCTCTAGCGAAGTGAAGGCTAATGTGAGGTATAGGTACTTTATCAATGCACAATCTGTCGTTTTTGTTATCTTACCAGTTGGGTGCAAATGAAGCTATTATTTTCTTGTTATTAGAAACGGAAGCAATTCTCTAAGCGACACGAACGTAAAAGTTTTATCGCGTAACTTCTAGTATTAATTTATTTACTTCGACACTAGAGAAAATTGTTTCCTTTTGATATTAATCTTGATGAAAATATAGATGTTAAGTAGGATTATAATCAAATATTTATTGAAACAAATATTGCTTAAGCTCTTCTTTCTCGGAACGATAATATCTGTTCTAAGAAGCTGTAAATAGCTCTGTTTAGATTTTAAGATTAAATCATTTAATAGGTTCTATTACTAGGTTGTACTAGACACTAGAGAAAATTGTTTCCTTTTTATATTAATCTTGATGGAAATATACATGTTAAGTAGGATTATAATCAAATATTTATTGAAACAAATATTGCTTAAGCTCTTCTTTCTCGGAACGATAATATCTGTTCTAAGAAGCTGTAAATAGCTCTGTTTAGATTTTAAGATTGAATCATTTAATAGATTCTGTTATAGCGTACTTACTCTTTTATCTTATCAAGTTCACTGTAAATATCATTTTCAAACGAATATCACAATTAAATGTTTTAAATCAGTTTTAACTATTTTTTACATTGGTATAGTGTAAATTTAATTCCACGTTACAAATCTGTTATCTTTTCTTTTTTCTTTTTTTAATTACTGTCGCCATTCACCTTATGACCTAAGGTTGACTTCAATACAATTGGATAAACGACTTTCGAACGTATGGGCTACATGCCTAAGTTAATTATTGCTTGTTGATGAAGTTTGCTTGTAGCTTGATTTTCGTTTGCGGGTAGCTAACACAGAACGCAAGATATTTGATAGATGCCTGAATCCCGCTAACGAAAGTTCCCAAGATAAGCTTACATATGTATGTAAATGTTCCAAACAATAGCATTTGGACCGTCGGTCTACTGAGGAATATCACCCGCTGAGAGATCGTATCTTTGACATTACTCTAAAACGTTTTGTTATTTTATTAATTATTTTATTAAACGTTTATTAATTAAAACGACTTTTACGGTTTATTCTCGGGTTTTTTGCTCATCTCGCGAGGTCACGGACGACGAAAAACTGTACAGTACTGAAAGCGTCGAAAATAATAATATATAATGAGAATAAAAAAGGACAGATTAAACCATTTAATAATAAGTAGTTTTAATTATGTCCATGACGTGCGAAAACAGAACGATGCCTCCAATGAACACAACGCTAACTCCAAATTCGTAGATTTACAGGAGGAGCATTTAAACTTATCTACTACTACTATTATTTAATAATATATATTATTACTATTAATCTTTATTATTGCAGATATATTTATGGTTTTTTTGTGTAGCTAGCTGATTTACCCTTGCTTTGAACCCCATTAATAATGATTAATTGTAATACTTTGAACATAGTGAAGCGATTTGCGTGAAAAATCAAAATTTCAAAATTTTGAGTTAGAGTAGTGTTCATTGGAGGCATCGAGAAGAAAATACTGAATCGGGTTTTCGCATGAGCAAATGCATATAAGGAAACGCGGGCACGTTTGGTTTAGAAAAACCTTTGATAAGATATTGAAGCAAATTTATTATTACATTTTACATAATTTGCGGACTACTGCCATGTCATTTCGAAGATCCAACCAAGACGTTTTAAGAGTAACATACCTATATAGGCATAACTACAAAAAACTATTCAGATTTGTCGTGATTCGTTACTTTTTGGAGTTTACTCCTTAAGAATCGATTTACATATATAGGCCCGGGGTATGAAAATTATGGGGACCAAAATCGTACTAGAGAGTATAGCATGTCACACGAAATGCGTTATGCGCCTGATTGGCTCCTGATTGGCGCGCGCACGCATCACCTGATTGGCTCCTGATTGGCGCGCGCACGCATCACCTGATTCTTGCGCNCGTACCGTTTTTACGTGGGGACGGAATGTCATCCCTCTGTCGAGGGTGACGCCTAGGTATTTGACCTTCGGGGCCCACGGTATGGGCTGGTCAAAGAGAGTGATGGGGCTAACGGCGGAGGTGTTTACGCGCCTACTGGGGAGTGGGGTGCTCGAAGTGGTATTCGGAGGGCGACCCCTTTTGAAT